TTTGGCCACCCCAATGGCCACCCCAATCATTTGAGGAAACCATACTAATAATACTATTACCACTACTACTTTATTTATAAAGCACTTTAAAACAACCACAGCTGCAACAAAGTGCTGTACATATACAATCAAGAACATTTAAACACATACAACAAAGAATAAAAAACAGTTAAAATTATACTTTTAAGTAATATAAAGACTAGAAAGCAATGTTTTCTCAAATGATAGGGATTGTTAGTATATATATATATATATATATATATATATATATATATATATATATATTAGTGCTGGGCACTGTAACACGTTATCACAGCAAATGATTAATGGCAACAATTTTGTTACGCGTTATTGCTGTCGATTTTTTTCTTTCTTAATTTTTAAAGTCTGTTGCTCAGTGGCTGTGAACATATGTCTGTGGCTGTAAATGCTCAAACCCATTGGTCATGGGGGGTGGGACATTGATCTCTACTGGCTATGGATGGGCATCATCAACCAATGAGAGCCTTTGTTTCATAGGACTGCTGCCGCACAGTACTCACGTGGACCCTATCAGAAACTGAGCAGCGAGGACAGAAACATGGAGAAAGGTAGTAGACTTTCCATAGGCATTATTATTTTAAAACTTTTTCCAATGCCAGATAGAAGTAACGTTATCTGTAAGCACTGAATTGTAACAAATGCTCTATGGAAGTGAATAGCTACTAATTGCAGGCCAATTAGCACTGTGTAAGATGCTGGTCTGTGTGACGTTTTTAGAACCTGCAGAGTAGGAAAGGTGCAGTCGGAGGAATGTACAAGTTAATTTGTTATTATATCATTACTCAGTTTGCGTCACTAAGCTTTTTGATTCTTATAACAGATTGTCCAAAGAAAATCCAGTGCAAACAGTTGTGCTTAGTTCACTACACAGTTAATATAAAGACTAAAATCTCTCTGGCACAGTCGGTTATATCTGTTTTCTTGTGATTTTTATTGTGCTTGAGCACTTTTACCTTTCTCCAACAGAAACTCTTGTTATTGAAAATAAACTGTTCATGATGCTCCCTGATTTAAAAATGTTTCTTCTTGTAACTTTTCAGAACCCCCCCCCAAAAAAAAAAACAACCCACAAACTTTTTAAGCCATCTTGGATTTTGACGTGGCAACCCAATTTTCAATAGAAACCTTTCTTGTGCCTAGATGCAGTCACACAGCAAAATGGAAGTCAGTAACACTTATTTTTCAAGTTATCCAGCTCACAACATGCAAGAACGAACAGACGGACAGAAGGTAATTCCAATTTCCCTTTTTCTCTTCGAGACGGGGCAAAATCAGACTTCAGTTAGCACTCGGAGTTCGAGTTAGGGCTCCATCTCCATTACCACCTCACCAAATTTAAGCTATACCTGCAACACCAACTGAGTTAAAAACATTTTGTTTTTCTATTCTTGATTAGCCATGGCGGCCATCTTAAATCCGGTTGTTTCCAAATGCTAATAGTTGTAGATTTACATCCTGTGATGACTTTCTGCAAAAATGAACACACATGCTTGAACATGTGCAGACTTTATGTAACTACAGGCAGTGTTTCCACCCTGTGGACATTCTTGCCTCTACTCTGCATCATAAGACGATAAACACACCAAACAGCACAATTAATATACACTGAGGGGAGAATAACAAATTAAACAGCAGCCTGTGTAAAAAGGACAAAAATATATATAAAAAAAAAAAAACACAGAGGAAAACGGTCTCTGCGTGTGTGATAGTTTATGAGTCATTTTGGTACTCTGAAGAACATCTCCTCCAGTACAGCTCAGGATTACATCCAGAAATACACGTGTCTGCGTGGGTCGTACAAGTGTACATATCAACTAAACGCCGTGACCTAACCGTGATATAATGTTAGACGATGTAAAAAAGCATAGGACTGAAGGAGAAAATGTTCTTGGAGATAAAAATAAATCAATTTAAGATGCTGCTGCTCATGTGAATGCTTTTAGAAAAAGGAAGTAAAGCAGGAAAAAGGAACTAATGCAACTCGAGTCATGCTGAAAACCGAGCAGTGTTCCCTCAACACCCCACCCATGTTGCAAGGTCGTGTGAAAAAAAACAAAGAATCAGCTGTTAAATTAAATGTCCTGCTGTGTGAAGCCATTTCCACGTCAATCTAAAACAAAACCTCTTCTACAGGAGAGCACTGATCTGAGGTTTTACAGTTCGTAGGTTTTAGAAATCAAAACACTCGCATACTTTCTGCTTTTTTAACCATTTGTGCATCAAAATGTTCAACTCAATCAGGAAGTGTGTGTAGTATTTTTTACTTTTATACTTTGTGGAATTATTGTATTTTATTTACTTCAAGATCTCGTCAATCCTTTCAAAACTTAGCTTTCTTTGAAATTAGCTTTAACTTACTGTCTTCATTTTTATCTTCCTATGCTACTTTTAGTTGCTCTTTGGCTGCATTTAACTAGTATTTTACTATTGTTAGCATTTAGCTATTACTCTTCTACTAATAACTTTTAGAAAGGCTTTTGTTACTTTTAGGTTCAAGTATTAATTTGCCTCAAATACTTTTAGCTAGCCTTTTATATCTGTAGCTAGTCTTAAATCTTTTAGCTAGACTTTTGCTAATTTTAACTTTTAGGTAGCTTTCTGATACTTTTTGCTTTTAGTCTTTTAATACCTTAAGCTGGTCTTTTAACACTTTAACCTTACCTTTTTTCAATTGTTTAGTTAGCGCTTTACAACTTTTCGTTTTTGGTTGGCCTTTTGATTCTTTTAGTTCTTAGTTTGCCTACTTATACTTATATATACTAGCTAGCCTTTTTCTACTTTTAGCTTTTAGCCAGCGTTTTGGTACTTAAAGCTAAAAGCTAAAGTAAAGTAAAACTAAAGGCCTGTTAAAAGCTTAAAATATTTTAATTGGCCTTTTGGGACTTTTCGCTAACCTTGAACTGCTTCCAGTTTTTAGCCAGTCCTTTAATACATTTAGCTTTCAATAAGCTCTTTTATAACTCTTTTAGATTTCAGTATGTTTTGCTGTGCCATTTTTAGCTAATGTTTAGCTTCTATTAGCTATTAGTTAATGTTTTACTGCTGCTACCTATGGTTCTGTTTTATTTAGATTTTAGCTAGCGCTCTACTCCCTTTAGCTTTAACAACTTAATGTCAGCTTATTCAGCTAATTTCAGCAATTATTCAGCTCTCGGCCTTCACCCTGTTCTGTCACAGAATTTATTTATTTATTTTTCAGTTTGGAAGCATTCCTGTTCAGAACAGATACATTATGTGGTCACCAGAGGAAAAAGCAGCCAAAATAAAACCCAGCCCAGTCCAGCTTAGCAGATAAGACCACTGACCTTCCTGAAAGAGACAAGATGTGCTGACCCTCCCACCCAAAATCCTCCCCAACGGGGACGCCTAAAAACCAAATCCTTCAGTCAGTTCCATCTGGACAGTTAGGAAAAACAAAAAGAAAACACATGGAACTTCCTGTTCCACCAATCTGAATTGCTCACACACAAAAGAGGGCTCTGCAGAGAGAAGCTGTGTTTGGATCCAGTTGGCTCACTTGCTCAGACTGACCCAGATACGAAACTAATCCTCCACATGGGTCCAAATGCACCCAGATCCAGCGGCAGCTACACCGCAGCACGTGATCTGAATGAAAACCCACACAGGGTCAGGAGGCCAGAGATGGACACACATTTTTTTAGTGAGATTTGTAGCACAAACACCTTGAAGGCTCGACTCTGTTGTCCTCACTGTAGGAGCTAAAAGGAAACATATGGTTCAGTCAATGTTTCTTTTCTGTTTCGGGTGTTTCACAACAGAAAACAGGACTTAACGTTCTCTCGTACTTTGAGGTTTGTTACTCAGCCTGGAGGCGCTTTTTGACTTTATAGCGTGGATGCCGATTAATTACTTTATATAATATTTTTATTATTTTATGATTTTCTTTAAAACTTTTGCCAACTACCTTCTGCATACTATTAGTATATATTATTACTATTAGTATAATACTGTATACCATGCTATTACTGCTATTTTTGAAGTTTATCAAAACTTTCAGCTCATTCGGGGTTGGATACTGTGACTTTAGATTCTGTACTCTTTATATTTAAATTTTATTTACAAATATCTTCCCCTAAACATACAATGACAACTACATCAATTCCTTTATAAACTTTGTTTTATTTAAAATCTGCTTTAGCATACTTTCCCTTTTTTTTTGTTTTAGTTACCGTTTTGCTACTTCTAGCTTTGCTAGCTTTTAGCTACTTTGAGCTTTTAGCTAGCCGTTTGCTTTGTAGTGCTTTTAGCTAACATTTTGCTACCTTTAGATTTTTAGCTACCCTCATCATTTTTTGGTTTTAGCTACTGTTTTGATACATTTAAATTTTGACTACCATTCTGCTACTTTTAGCTTTAGCTAACTGTTAGCTATTTATAACTTTAGCAAAACATTTAGCTACTTTTAGCTAGCCTTTTGCTTCATTTAGCTTTTAGCTATTTTTGCTACTTTTAGCTAGTCTTTTGTTAGCACTTAGTTGGTATTTTGCTGTTAACTTTAAGTTAGTGCAGTGTTTCCCCTACCATTAAACAAGCAGGGTGCCCCCCACACTGTTAACAAAACTGAACGCCCTGCCTACCGAACTCACCCCCTACCCCACCCCGTCGACAACTGCTGGCACTGATGCAGCGGTGAGCAATACGGATGAGCTACCTAAAAAGCTATGGCTAAGGAGGTAGAGCTCCAGAGCTCCAACTCCCTCCCTCACTCTGAGCCGTCACCCCCCGCTCAAAAACGGTTGGTACAAACAGCGCACAACACAGACGTGACTTACTTTTAATGGTTAAACTGAACATGTTAACTTTTAACACACTTTATACTTCCTAAATTCTATGACCACCTTGAAGTTTCTCAAATATCCAAGACTTTGAAGTAAAAGAAAGAATAAAATCCCAGATTTCAGTTAAAACTTCAGTGTTAAATGTTTTTCGTCTCTCACCTACAGCTGGAGCATCGTACTCGTCTCCCAGCAGGATCTCTGGCGCAGAATATGCTAAAGACCCACAGCTGGTGGCCAACATCATCCCTGGTTGAAATAAGTTACTGAACCCAAAGTCTGTCAGTTTCACAGCTCCCTGCTGGGGGAAAAACACCACATTCTCTGGCTTCAGGTCCCGGTGCACCACATGGAGCCGATGGCAGTATGCCACGGCACGCACGATCTGGGCGAAATGACGCCTGGCAGTGCCCTCGGCCACACCTCCGTCATGGCGGATGATGTAGTCGTAAAGGTCCCCGCCCTCGGCCAGCTCCATGACCAGGTAGAGTGTGGTGGGGGTGTCAATGACCTCATAGAGCCGAACCACGTTGGGATGCTGCACCAGCCTCATGCACCTGAAAACAAGCAGCAAAATTTATAAACAAGTGATTGGACAAATGGGAAATGTAGTCTTTTATTTTGAAATTTCTAAATCCATCCATCTTCTTTTACCCGCTTCTCCTTTTGGGTTGCGGGGCAGCTGGTGCCTATCTCCAGCGGTCACTGTGTGTGAGGCGGGGAACAAGTTGCAAGTCCATCAAAGGGACACAAAGACATACGAGACATCAATTCACACCCAGGGACAATTTAGAGCAACCAATTAACTTAACATGGTTGTTTTTTGGCTGAAAGTGTCAGATTTAACAGATACCATGCCTCTAAGACCATTTATTTTGTAATAAGGTCTTTTTCAAACCTGACTTCCTGTAAGAGGTGGCTCGATGCCATCACGTCCAGTTTGGTCTTATCAATCATCTTCACAGCCACCAGCTGGCCGGTGCTGACGTGACGGCCCAGTTTAACGACGGCGAAGTGACCCCTTCCCAGTGTACGACCCAGATGGTAGAGCCCGGTAAGATCTGACCGGTCCAGACTGCTCCTGGGGTTCACGGGTCCATGCTGAGCAAAGGTCAAATCTCCAGAGGAGTCCATGTTTCAAAAACAGAGGAGAGAAACGTGTTGCAGCGAATGTTGGGATGAAGTTCCTCACTGTTGGAGAGTCGCCTGGCAGGAAGAGAAGCACACAAACCCCCAAAAATTAGATTTCTGTGAGAACACTAAGCACTAAATGTCTGAAACAAAGTTGATACAAGAAACAGAACACTGTTTAGTTAAAAGAAACAGAATAATAGCTAAAAGTAACACGAACACTAGCTTAAAGCTAATAGTGATAAAAGGCTATCCATCCATTATCTTTACCCGCTTATTCCATTTTAGGTCACAGGGGTCGCCGGTGCCCATGTCCAGCAATCACTGTGTGAAGGGCGGGGTACACCCTGGACGGGTCGCAAGTCCATCACAGGGCCACATAGAGACAAACAACCATTCATGCTCTCACTCACACCTAGGGACAATTTAGAGTTACCAATCAGCCTAACATGCATGTTTTTGGTCTGTGGGAGGAAACCGGAGAACCCGGAGAAAACCCACGCATGCACGGAGAGAACACTCAAACTCCACCCAGAAAGGCCCCTGGACCGGGGTTTGAACCAAGGACCTGCTCACTGAGAGGCAGCAGCTCTACCAGTTGCGCCACTGTGCTGCCCCTGACAAAAGGCTAGTTAAAAGCTAAAATATTAAAGAGTTAACTTAAATATTAAAATAAAACACTAAAGTTAAAAGTAACAAAATGCTTGCTTAGAGTTAAATGTAGCTAAACACTACTAGCTAGAAGGTAAAAGTAGCAAAAACAGTAAAAAGTAACAAAAGACCAACTAAAACCTAAAGGTAATAAAAATGTTATAAATGGTTGAATATAAAAATAAATAGCTAAAATTATCAAAAGGCTAACTAGAAACTCACTGCAGAAAGACTGGCTAAAATCTAAAAATAACTAAATTCTAAAAGTAGCAAAGCACTAAAAAGAAGCTGAAAATGAAAAATGTTAAAGCTAGTAGCATCTAAATGCTAGCTAGAGGCTAAAAATAAAAGTTTTGCCTGTTTTAGCATACTTTCTAAAAACAAATGTTGCTATGGTTTTGCTTTTAGCTTTGCTAGCTTTTTTTCTACATTCAGCTTTTAGCTAGCTGTTATTTAGCACTTGTAGCTACCATTTTGCTACTTTTAGGTTTTAGCTACTCCTATGGTCACTTTTTGTTTTTAGCTAGTGTTTTGCTACAATGAGTTTTTAGCTACCATTCTGAAACTTTTAGCTTTAGCTAGTTGTTGGCTATTTATAGCTTTTAGGGGACATTTAGCCAAGTAAAACCCAATAGTAACAAAATGCTAGTTAAGAGCTTAAAGTAGTAAAAGGCTAGTTTAAAGCTAAAAAGTAGCCAAAAGCTAAATCAATACAGCAAATTATACTGTTTGAGTTTTACAAATATCCATCCAGTGTTTTATGAGATATTTTGCTAACAAAACAAGTTGATTTCAACAGGTAAAGGCAAAGTTTTAATTAGGGAACTTGCTTGCTTAGTTAGCACTCAGAGTATGAGTTATTTATGACTCTCAGCTACTACCACTCCAAACGTTAGCTTAATATCTGTAAAACTGCATATCAACTTTGCTGCAGTGGCCATCTTGAATTGAGTTGACTCCAACAGATGCTCATCCAATGTTTACTCTTCGGAAAGTGCCATTAAAATCTGCTCATTAATTCATGAGACATTTCTCTAACAGTACAGACACGGTGGGCGATAATACAAAATGGCCGCCAGGATCATTTCGGCCTTTTGGTCCAAAGGGAGAAAGGATTTAGGCGAGGTCAGCTGCTGTTAAAACCTCGTCCCCTCAGGCGCTGGAGCAGAAGTAGACTCGTGTTCCACTTCATTTAGCAGAGGCACAGATGACAAAGCACGTTCAGATTAACTGGATTACAGCCGTGCAGAATTATAGTCCAAGGAGAGGGGCAGAGGGACGAATATTCTGTTATCATCTCCGTTGATGAAAGGCTGCATTTGGCTCCAGCTCAAATTTCAGCACCCAGGCACAAACGGCCCGCCGAATCAATAATGTAACAAAAAACCACAGTGCATGTGTCTGTGCACGTGAGTGCACGTTTGTGTTGTTCCAAGGGTCGGGAGATGGTGTTAGACCTGATGATGTCATCATATCACCAGGGTACCGAACTCCATCATCATCATGCTCATCGTCAGGGCAACAACCTCGATGGTTTCTGTTTGTTTGTAAACAACTTACAGGTAAATAAATTCACACCAAAGGTTCTCAAGGTAAACTTTTAAGTATTTCCAGCACCAAATGTCATATTTTAAAAAATAAAACGTATTAAAAAAAACAACATAATAGTAATAGTTGGCTGTTGGAATGAAGCTAGCCTCTTCATGAACAGCAACATTAATTTTTTTCTTGTTTTTATTTTCTTGAAAAACAAAACAAACGAAATATGACTCCAAGCAATTAAAAATGACTTCATTTAAAATTTTATATTTTAACTTAATTTGTAAGAATGTCAGCACGTTTAAGTCGTTTTGTAGGTTTCTCCACAACTCTTTCATCTTTACTTATTTTAATAAACAGTTATTGATGGCAAAATAAAAACATTTCGGTCATTTTTTTTAAACATTTAGTAAATTTTTATCTTTTTTTTTCTTTCTGTGTCTGTTTCATGCCCCATTAGAAATAGTTTGTTTTTGCCTTCTTCTTGTTTTAGAAATTGTGTACACAGGGTCACAGTTACATCAAACAAAAGTACAAATTGTAAAGAAAAACAGTAATAAGTAATAAGTAGTAGTTTACACAAAGTTGACAACTTTGTGCATCTACAGGTAATAATGATTTGGGATTAAAGGATCACTTTTTATAGTTTTAAACTCCTTTTCGTTTGAATATTTCAGAAACTCCTGACTAATTTTACTTCCTTTACTGTGTGAATTTGAATTCAGCTTCACCTTGTTTTCCTATATTTTACTTTTCAGTAACTTTTTGCCATAAACTCCATCTGCACACTTTGTGAGATTTTAGCTGCTCGTACACCAAAACTTTCAGCTCATTTAGGAGATGGGTGCTGTGACTTTTGCTTATTGTAAACTGATACTTTTCAAAATATTTTATTTTATTTAAAAATAATTTCTTCTCTGGAACACAAGAAGTTCTTTTATTTACATTAAACATTGTTTTAACTTAAATCTGATTTGACTTAAGCATACTGGCTCTACTTTTATGCTACTTTCAGCATTTTAAGGATTTAAAGATTCAAGGTTCTTTATTTGTCGTACAAACCACATGTGGTACATGTGGTGGAACAAAATTATGTACACAGGGTCCCAGTTACATCCAACAAAAGTATTAAAATGTAAAAGAAAAACAGTAATATGAACTAAGAAAAAATAACAAAAATATACTAAGCACTAGTAGCATAAAAACAATACGCCAAACAGCAGCACGGACATGAGTCTGTGTGAGCAGATGAGTACGAATGAACACAGCAACATGAAACAGATCAGCTGCAACATGAAACAGATCAGCTGCAACATGAAACAGATCAGCTGCAACATGATGTGATTTTCCACAGTGATTATTCTGGTTAGAGGTTCATGAGTCTAACAGCCTCAGGGTAGAAGCTGTTCCTCAGTCTAGTGGTTCTACACTTAATGCTCCTTAACCTCCTTCCTGAGGGGAGCGGGGCAAAAAGTGTGTGTGCTGGGTGAGTGGGGTCCTTCATGATGCAGGAAAAGGGCCACCTGCAT